CCATGTTGATTTGATTATATGGATGACATCCTCCGGGAGCCCCAAAACTGATGCGCGCGTGCGAATAAAAAAAAGTTTTGCAAAAAAAGTTAACTTTTCTATTATGAAATACTACATGTACGTGGTCATGAGGGTTGAGCAAATGGCACAGAATATGGTTTGGCGAATAATCTAGTCTTCAAGTTCATTTCTTTACAATTTCGTCTTTTTCGTTTGATTTTGGCATTCTACGACATTGGTATAGTTTTTATTAATTTTTTTGTAACTTATGGTATATTTTTGCTCATTTTGCAACTGTTTTGTACGATTTACAGTATGGTTGAAAACTTTTTTTTTTGGAAACGGCCGAAAATTCATGCGCGCGCGGATGTCATCCATATAATCAAATCAACATGGCCTTAACTATAGAAATAGAAAGGTAACATTTGCAAATGCATAATGTTTACCTCCGCATATGGTGACAGGTCTGCTCTGTTAATTCTTACTCAAACACATTCACATATATGGTCAGACAGGAGTCTAAATCCCTCCTGCTATGAAATTGCAACATGATGTAACCCGGCCAACACCAGTCACCATGGTGAGAGACGGTCTGGTTCAGGTCATTGACCTTATGTGTTTGGAGAAGAGGAAACTGACCAAAAACAGTAAAACATAAGTATGTGTCGACCTTACCTGTCGTAACACATTTAAACTGTCCCGAGGTGCATCCCGAGGTCAGAGGGCAGGTTCTGTTGGAGCTGCAGCCTCGGGTTTCCACCATCGGCTTCGTACAGGGAGACCCGCCGAACTGCGACGGGCGGACTAGCGGAGAGTACCGGGACTGCAGCAGGGAAAACACTCAGATATTTGACCACGGATCTACAGATAACATTCCTATATTATTTTTGCTCACGCATTATTTTTGGCCCCCCACCCCATTCGATACCTGATCACGAAATGCATAAGGCCTTCACAGGTCATGGAACATGCGACTCGTTGCTTATATTTTAATGGAAATGTAAGTGTAAGTGAATTGCACGTAGACACATGTAACATGCAAATAAAGGATGGACAATGGATAATGATATAGTATGTGGCTACTCTAACTACTAAACACTAAAATCTAACTTATTAGATTCGATGCTTTCCTACAAAACATCGCATTGATGATACATATGTACTTGACATGTCGGAACACGTATGCAAATACTTCTGTAGTACCTGATGTGTATTTATAGAATGGGAAGTTTCTCTTTGTGACAGTTTCACTTCCTTTTATTCACAGGCCGATGAGCATTTTGGGTCATGTGCAGATGATTATGTGCGTCACTTCCCTTTTACCTGATCACAAGGTGGTGACACATACAGCTTTCACGTCATGGGGATTTCTCTCCATAGTACCTTAAAACACACGATCTGTATCTGTATTTGTATAGCTGGTATAATCGCCCTTCGGCGTAACACACCATATATTACGCGGTATAGTAGGGTGCACTAGAAATGCGAAAATGAATTTTAACTCAAACCCCCAAAACATCTGTCTGCATATCGAGTTTTGACGCCCTCTTTAGTCTTTTAACTGATGTCCTGTGGAGTCCCCTTACCTCATCTCCAAGCAGATTCGGTGGGGCAAGGGGACTTTTTATTTTGGCCTCCTGTATCCATTGCCAGCGTGGGGCGGACGATGGATACAGGCGGCCAACATAAAGAACCCTTGCCCCACCGAATCTGCTTGGAGATTACCCCTTACCTGTAGCCTAGGTGCCGTCCTATTGTAGGCCGGGGCTCCCATATATACTCGCTTCCTATTTCTTACGGATTGAGCATGGGAGCCCCAGCATACAAATTGGTACCCAGGCTACCTTATAGCTTACCTGTGTGTGTAAGCATGGATCACAGACCGACCAGTCCCCGAACTTCCCCACCAGACAGTCTACCGGACACGTCACAGTGTTACACGGCTGGACAGGGGGACAATAAGACGAAAACTCTTCTTACATTTTCTAGTGATATTCTCTTTTACTTTATCGCAATAGATATGCATTCCTTACAGTTACAACCCCTCTTCTGAGGAGCAGGCTAGGACACTTTTACCGATCAATAGCAATAGTACAAAGGAAAGGACAAAGTGGCGGCCTACTCAAGTTGTACACAACGTATACTGGTATTCTAGCCGCCACTTGTACATCGAAATTGAAATGTTTGACAAGTCACAAGAATACACATAAATGCAATGGTTTGATGAAGGTTAAGGGTTAGTGGGATATAAGAAGTAATTAACGCCTAAGAAGACGTGCAAAATAAACAAAAGTCATTCAACGACAATTCAAGCACATATCTTATAGGTAATATCAGTATGTTTCCTCTTATCTGTGTATCCTGCAGCGCTAGCTATTTTAGCGCTAGTGTGTAGCCCCATCCAAGTGTGATAGGGAATGTTCTCAGGCAACCTTCGTAACCCTAAAAATGTACGTTTTCTCTTACCTGTGTATCCTGCAGCGCAGGACACGGGGTCCCTCCGTGCGCTGCCGGGACGATCACGGTACGGGAGCGGGCGTGCGTGCCGCCGCCGCAACTCGCCGAGCACGCTCCCCACGGGCTCCAGTCCGTTACCGCGCAGTTCTGCGGGAGCGGCGGCGGCGGAGGGGCCCTCCTTCGCCGCCGGCGTCTCCAGCCCTGCCCGGTTTCCAAACTTGTTGCCAACACGGCCAAAACAAGCAAAACAACCCTGTATCGACCATGCATCGTTCGTCTTTTTTAAATTTGATCTCGCAGACCTTTAACTGTGCGTGTTGTTTTTCGGGAAGCTGAAACCTCCACTGAAGATTATGGGTGGCTTATACAATTACTTCCGCATTTCACTTCTGCATTTTAAACAATATATGGTCTTGTGACAGTTACTACCGTGTTTGGTGGAACAAAGGGGGCAGTTTCGATGATGTAAGTCCTAAAATTAAAGCCGGTTATTGGTGGGGTGAATGCATTTGTTAACTTTTAAAGAAAGGGAGTAAAAGTTGGGGATATTTCTCATTTGAACAAAATATCATACCATGCAGCTAAAAAACAAAAGCTTTATTTGTACCGCCGTCTAGGTTTGGCGTTTCCACGACATCAAGCTACTAATGTCATAGTTCTGTACAGAGACGTTCATTTCTTGGTTGGTTCCATAATGGAGTAAAAGCCAAAACGTTAACCCCCATATTCCCATAATGATCCATTCAGGTACTTTTGGGTAGTGTACGCAACATTTAACGTCACAAATCAATGATGACTGCTGCAGTACTGCGTGGACGCGATAGGGGGCAGACGGAAGCTTTTCCTGCGTGCGGACCCTGGGGGTTTCTGAAACGTCCCGGTCGCAAGGGGAAAACGCCGCCTGTCCGACCTGCCCCCTATCCTAAACACACAGTACTGCAGTTCCCCACCATTGGTCGGACCGAACCACAGGCCCGGTGCTGTGGGGGTTTCTGAAACGTCCCGACCCTCGCCGAAAACGCCGCCTGTCCGACCTGAATACCTACTCAACACGAACAAACCGCCTCCCATAGAGACGCCTGTCAACACGACACCGCAAACATCGTGCCCGAACCGCTCCTAACCCCGCCGGCACTGCCGGGGGCTGCCGTCCGGTAACCCCTGCAGCTACCCCGTCCCGGGGTGGGAAAGTGACCTGTGCGGCGGCTTTAGGCGGGGTTTTTGAACCGTCCCGTTGGTTTGGTATGCAGCACATGTCAACAACACATCCCGCTGACTCCAACCTTTACTGGTGGGGCCGCCAAGAATTGAACAAATGATTAAATCAATTAATTTTGATACTATTAGAAGAACTTTATTGCACGAAAGTCGTACATGGTACAATGTATGCAACGACTATAAAGACTACATGTAGTACAAAAAGTATCATGTCTGAAATGACGTAAAATGGAACAAGACTGGACTACCTTTAACCAGATGTGTTTTGGAAAGTTTATAATAATATGCGATGTTTTGTTCCTCTTGGTCCTCTTTTATGTTGAGCGCTGGTGACCCCTCAGACCGGATTGATCTGGCTGGAATGTTTTTGTGGGCAGCCGGCCAGCTGATCATGGTGTGTACGGAACCTATGGCTATAATGGCGTAAACAGCAAGATTTGACTCATCTTCAACCGGATGTGTTCTGCAAAGTTTAATATATGCGATGTTTTGTTCCTCTTGTGCGTCGATTCATGTTGACCGCTGGTGACCCTCAGGCTCAAGCCGGACTGATCTGGTATGCTTTTGTGGGCAGCCGGCCAGGTGATTATTGTGTGTACTATGGCTATGCACGTGCATTTAATTTTCGCCTGATTTTGAAAAAAGAAAAAGAAATTTTGTTGCCTTCTGACAGTGGTCAACATGCCGAAAATGGGCAAAGACATCTGTTGCCATGCCGGAAGGTGGATGGCAGATACCTATCGAAGAGAGGAGACAAGAAAAGGCTCTGATTTGATGTTTTGTTTCTTACTTTGATGCAGTGATATGTAATGCTGGCTGTGCATATGTGATGTTCCCACTGAATAAAAACCATTTGTACAATGATTGAGTCAAAATTTTGAAATGTAGGAACCTTGTTTTTTTTCGGCCCGCCTTGTTTGTTTTCGCCTTTTTTCCCTTTTTTTTCATGTTGACCGCTGGTGACCCTCAGACCGGATTGATCTGGTATGTTTTTGTGGGCAGCCGGCCAGGTGATTATTGTGTGTACGGGATCTATGGCTATAATGACGTAAACAGCAAGATTTGACTCATCTTCAACCGGATGTGTTCAGCAAAGTTTAATATATGCGATGTCCTCTTGTGCGTCTTTCATGTTGACCGCTGGTGACCCTCAGACCGGATTGATCTGGTATGTTTTTGTGGGCAGCCGGCCAGCTGATCATGGTGTGTATTACTCTCCAAGCAGAGGTTGTGGGGAAAGATCGTTACCTTTTTATATATGGCCGTTTTTTTTTTGTCCTGATCCCCGTCGGTAGCTAATGGAGTTTCTCTGGCTAATACTAGTGTCTGGCCAATTTGATACTGTCTTTTTGCCACCGAGAGGGATCTGCTTGGAGATTTATAGGTGTGTATGGCTATGCACGACTGGCCGTGATTGGGCCGCCATTCTGGCTGCTGTCCAACTTCTGTGTATTATGATCCACCTCCGCATCTGGTCTTACATTTGGCGTTCATGTAAATAGAGGAAAAATTTTGCCATGCGTATATACAAAGTCTACTACGGACAGTTGTTCACTTCCCTTTTTCGATACAGAATAGAATGGAATAAATAAATAAATACAGAACTCAATGACTCAGACTCGCGGTGGGACGACTTTCTCCTGCAAACTCGGACTAGTACTAGTTTTTATAGTCCTTTCATAATCCACATAATCTCTCACTGGATATGTAGAAGAAACTTCAAGCAAACGAATACCATTCATAGAGGGAGTGGCTCCGTCATAAGTCGTTGATCCGAGGAATTGCGGATTGAAAAGCGCTCCTAATGATAAAACAGACCACGGACAGTTCTGTGCGCGCCTGCCTCCCCGCCACAAACCGTCCTGAAATCCGCTGTTGCCTGGAAAGCTGCCTGGTCCAGAGGAGTGACCTCTGGATGACCCGTGTGTGCGGAGGATGGACACGACAAAGTTGGGGTTTCTGACCCATCCCTGTTTGCGTCTCGCGTCTTCTTTTCGCCTTTTCTGCCCCGTCCTCGCGCGTTCCCGCTAAATTTCAGTCCCGCCAACATCGGACTAGTTCCAATTTATAGACGATGTAATTCGCTTGCCATAAAACACGGTATTTGTGCGGTAATTGTGGAGTTTCTGAGGAGGAAGATGGTAGTTTGAGGGGTTTTCGGACTGTCCCTTCGGTTATCGACCAGCTTCTACCTCCTTGAAAACCGGTTGGCGCCGGTTTGGGCCTCGCCCATTTGTCCACATACGCAGGGACTTTTGTATTTGTTTTACCTGCGGCACACTCAGGTCAGTAACCTAATCTCCACCAGACTTCCTGAAGGGTTGAATAAATCGTAGAAATCGGCCTAAAAAGGGTATTAATTTACCAGAGAAGGTAGCTGGCCAGAGAAGCTCCATTTGCCGGCAAATGGCTACCTTCTCTTCTCTGGTGGAGACTATACTTTAAGGGTGGCGTTGGCGTGTCCCTAGGCCCTTTCTTTAGGGTTAATTTTTTTTCAGATCTTCCTTTTATTTTTGATCTCTACCTTCTCTCCGTGGCAAAAACTCCCTCGGCAGCAGAGTTTTTGCCACGGAGAGAACCTTCTCTCCGTGGCAAAAACTCCCTCGGCAGCAAATCGTCCCTCGCGGCGGCATATTACTCGCGTCGCTCAGAGAAAAAATTACGCCCACGCCCAACAAGACTGCGAAGGAGGCTAGGCTAGAGGGGCCGCTCGTAGATGCCCTACATTTATAGGACAATTCCTTCAGACCTTTGGACTCACCACTTACGCAAGCCAGACACATTTTTGCAAATAGACGTTATCAGTCTCTCTGCCTGCACTCGAAAACTTTCAAAAGTCTGATTGAAGTCTATCGAGATTTATACTATAAAGAGTGGCACGGCATCTCTTTTTATGCAAGGACCTTTCAGTCGCCTCCTTCCTTCAACATCCGAAATTACAGTTCGCTTTTGTTGTATACGTAGGCCAGGTTTGAAAACTATTAGTACTGCATGAGTTTTGGTCGACATCGAGTAGTGCCGGCGCGGTCACATTTGCCGTATCAAGGACATTCTACTACATTTTTATGTCGAAGAATTTTCAAGCAGGCCACGACAGAACCAAGTACCCACAAGGACCTAAGACAATATGTCTTATGCCTTACCCATTGATAATAGCCATATACTATGTTTACATCAAGTTCCCATCGACCTAGATCCGTCCTGCCACATGTCATCCATGTGACACGGTGCCAACAGGTCAACACTAATGTAAACAGGGCTAGCTAGGTGTTTCCAAGGCTAGCTTTGCCGACGGGTCCTGTCCTGTGAGCCTTTCTAATCTTCACTGGCTGATCCGCAAACACATACTGGACCCACTACAAGCAAGGCACGATGAATTTTCAGCAAACCTGTCCGTATACATGTAGTCAACAACACTTGTCCTTGTCACACATTCGGGACCTTCTTTTTGGCCCAAATTCAAGATGTCGGAAGGTCAACGACATCGATTCTTCATCATTTTCCCGTCATGCACCAGTAAGCAGGGTGACATGTCCCTGAATCTGTTCCAGGGCACTAACTACTTTAAGGGTCGATGGCTTCCTATTATGATTACCTTCACATTTATGTGGTCTATTCTTTCACTCGGGTGGAAACTCAACCCACGACTCGATATATAAATCAAACACACGCACCAGGCGATCTCACAATTTAAATTTATATTGTTTTCGTAATATCTTACATTCTTATTGACATGAAGCGACTACATCGCGCGAGTACTAGTGTAATGCTTATAAAATATAGAAGGAAGTCTTAAGTTAGCTGCTTGACATTTCTATACGAGCATATACGACATTTCGATACAGCATATCATAGACTAGATTAAATAACCTATCTACCAGTAATCATAATTGTTATTTAAGCCTATAACATTATACATGTATATATAACGCTATTTCTAATACATTTGTAGTACAGAAAATGTCCGGTAACCTCACAGCTTCACATTTCGTGCTCGGAATATTTCATACAAGTTTGTAACGTTTCGTCACACGCTACACTGCATGTGGTGACAAAAACGAGGAGAAAAACTAAGCTAGAAACTATAAACTGTACAACATGCAAATAATCATGGAATGATCAGAGCAGGGTTGTCTTGGGAACGCTATCTAGAAGACATTTCTAAACGAGTACAAGTTAAAACAAGAACGTCCGAGGAAAAAATGACAAACTGTTAAACTGAACAAAAAAACTTCTCCAACGATTCACCCTACCTTAATCCTTTTTGGTCCGTACTGCTCGCTCATCCGACACTGTTAGAATTGCACTGAATACACTTATTTACAGTTCGTGTCTCCGAGCTACTTGGCGAAGCTGACTACATTGGTAAGGAAAAATTATACCAAAAGAATGTCTGTGTTTTAAGGTTGTGATGTTCAGTTTCTAGTTTGCCGAATAAGCTGCTACGTCCTTGATGATTTTGATCATCGGGTAATATACACAAGCCATGCGAAAACAGCAGATAATAATTTCTTGGTGACAAAAAATGATAATATCAATGTTGACAACTCTTGGCTTTCCGAAATAGCCGAAATGTTCAGTTTATAGTAGAGGGAATTCATTCCTCAAACTAACCGACATCTCGCACACGCAGTCGTCCCTCAGTGGAGGCATATGTGACAGGCTGAATAAAAGTTCTGAACGGGAACTTTGTGGCTCCAGATGTCTTACTGAGGGACGACTGTAACATTCGTAGCAGGCTTATAGAACTGGGGTTTGGAGGTCTTCTGCTGTTTTCTTACTATCCCAGTTCAAAAAACGGGGGTAATTCAACCAGGCCGGCTATGTTGTCTATATGCAAACAGAAAATAACACATAAAAGCTCCCAACGACCATGAAGACGCCCCCCCCCCAGTTTTTTGGCATGCTATGGAGGCTAGGACGACTGCGTGTGCGAGATGAATCCCCTCTACTATATACCTATATATATGGCCGAAATGTTCAGGTTCATGGTTTGCTATGAGTCAGTCCGCTCAGTTCTTGGTGATGCTGGCGATGATCTTCCTCTCCGTGACGCCGGGGTTGCAGCCCATGCGGCCGTGTCCCACCATGAAGTTGTCCATGACCAGCACGTCTCCCACCCGCCAGTGGAAGCCGTACGAGTTCTTCCACTGCACCTCCCGCACGTGCGCCAGGTCCTCCGCCGAGAACTCCTCACCGTCCCCGTACGAGGTGTGTTTGGGGAACTGCGAGATGTCCTTGGTCTGGGGGGAGAGACAGGGTGACGTGACAGTTAGACTTGACTTGACTTTATTATCAACCAAGGTGTTCAAAAACACATTCTTTCCTAGAACTATCGCAGAGTGGAACTCCCCAATGAACATTAGACTCGAGAACTATTTATTGATCTTACGCAGTGAACAACAAATCACTGAATTGCGAATCAGTGTACACAGAACACAAGAGTATACACTATTGCACACTATACGATTAAAAACAGGGGGAGGAAGAAACACTGACCTCGTTCATGAACTCGGGGTGGACCTTGAAGCAGGATCCGTTGTGTTCGGTCATCTGGTTGAACCAGTAGGTCTCCCCGCTGCCGGGGTGCTCGCACAGCCCGTCCGTGCTGAACCAGTAGGACAGCGAGTCGTCGGCGTTCCAGCGGTAGGAGAAACCCTTGCCGGTCAGGAACCGCTCCACCTTTTTGCATGATGTACAAAATGAATAATTAACTGGTGGACGTACCAACTACAAAGTACCTAATACCCAGAAAATAACAAGAAATAGCCATGAATTCAAGTACCAGAGTTATTAACCAAGGTTTGAGGTGTTCAAAAATTCATTCTTTCCTAGAACTATCGCAGAGTGGAACTCGCTGTCACCAAGTAAGCATTATCATTAGATAGCTTTAAACAATGTTAAGAGTTAGATGTTCAAAAGTCGTTCGGTGTAATATAACCAGCTGCCGCCGCGCCGCCTGCGAAGCTGGTGTGTTACGCCGAAGGGCGGTTATAAAGGCTATACAGATACAGATCAATCAATCAATAGCCTTTATTTATACTGGAAATGCCCTGTCGGCCGCTCTTCCTAGAGGTCCAGTTGAGGGGGGGGGGGGTCACAGGAACACAATAGATAAATAAGTAAATAAATACAAATTAATACAGTTACCTCCTCGCGGTCCCCGGTGTGCATGTTGGACTGCCAGTTCCAGCTGCTGCGGGACTTGTCGGGGATGTTGCGCACGTACCGGATCTGGCGCGTGCGCACACGGTCCAGCAGGGAGGAGTCCAGGTCGCGCATCACACCGCGCATGTCCGTGACGGGCGTCTCTCCGCCGCCATGTTCGCCCGGAGACTTGATGCAGCAGAAGATCACCTGGGGAATCAACAACATGTTGTTTGCTTGTTTATTTGTTTGTTGGTTTGTTTGTTTGTTTGGTCATAGGTCAATCATCAAACAATCATAGAGTAATAGGCAAAATACATCAAACGACTAGATGAATATTCTGAAGAGCCAGACAGCCTCCGCTACCTTTGTTCATCAGTGTCTGACGAAGTTGCTTGATTTGGTTTGAATTACCAAGAAGATTTGTATTACGTAATGTTCTACCTGCTGGATGTCTAACTTTCATTGACCTCTGATAGGGTTACGTTTTTCAAGTTACTAAGACGTGATGTTGTGTTGTTGCATAGTCAATGTACATATGCTCAGGGCATTTGATTTTTGTATGTGACGTTGACTTGGTTGTTGTGATGTTGTTGCTATTGTTGTGTTGTTGATTATTTTGTTGCTATTATTATTATTATTGTTTTTGTTGTTGTTGTTGTTGCCCCACCTTTTGCGGCGGTGCCGGCATGAAGGACAGCTCGGTGTGGATGTCGATGGTGTACTCCAGCGGGTCGTCGTTAGAGGAGTACACGTTCGTGTCCAACTGCTCCCTAAGGAGGGAAACACAAGGTGGTAGCTTAGTATGAAAGCAAGTTAACAAGGTACTGGAAGTAACCTAGCAATGTAGTAACGTTACCCGCACTGCTTATATATGCTGTGCTTTTTAGCAACGCATAAAACAGTGACTTCAAAGAGACCAAACAGACTTGAAGAGCTCATCTATGTTTAAGATGTTGTTATTGGTAACTTCACTTACACACAAATGATGCTGAAATTAATGGTATGATGTTTTAGACGACGTATTCGGGACTGCACTATAATATTCGCCTGAATCCTGGTCAATCGGTACCCTTTCCCAGTGTACTGAGACCGTCCAAGTAGTATTGGCAGTTCAAGTATACACTATAAAAAGTTAGTGGACACTGACAAGATTAACAAAGGACGGAACATGTCAACAGTAGATGATTTAAACACTGTAAGTTCCCTACCTCCTCCCCGCGTGTCCGACATAGTCCCTGGGCGCCAGGCCTGTCCCGTCGAACAGCCGAGCGTAGTCCTCGCGGGTCCGGATAGGCAAGCCGCGGAACAGCAGCACACCTGTGGACACACAATACAAACAAACAAGGCGGTTTTACTTTCAGAAAAGGAAGGTAAAGCATCAGATAAAAAATTAAAAGGTAGGACACGGTACGTTCCACAGTTTGCTTCGACGGAAAACTTTAATTCTTTTTCCTTGAAAAGATTCCCTGCAACTTTTCTTCACTGTACTATACAAGTGGCCCACCACCCCGGCCCCATCACCCATACTTTCTTCCACTGTAGTCAGTTTACAAAATCCATGATGTTATTTTACGATTTAGTAATGAAATGACGTGAAGGCAAATGGCTATAACAGTCTGGAAAAATACGTACATGAGTGAACAACTGATAAGGACTAAATAATATTTTTCACCTCAGGAAACAGTATTAAAATCCCTCCTCCAGCTATTGTAATGAGTGTCAAACTTTTTACAACCCCCCAGAAAACTATACAGCAAAGCAACTACTGACGAAACGCAAGCACAACGCCGCCTCCATACAAAAGATGGTGGTTTGCGGCTCTTTACCACATACGTGAGTTTACCGCGCCCTGCTGCCCCGCTCCCGCCCAGACCGCTCACGGGCTGCCATAGAACAGAGAACATGTAAGTGCCATGTGACCTCTGACCCTAGGATGACCTCGGGTCCCGAGCTGACCTCTGACCCAGGGTGACGTCTGACCCCGTGGCAGGTGCATCCGGAGATGACGAAGCAGGCGGCAGCTCTACAGTAAATATTATAATAACTTCAATCGTAGCCGCCTAGTTTTCTTCGTAAACAGCTAGGTTCACGCTCTTTCCGTTTGAGTTGTGGCATGGAAACACCATCCTTTGTGTTTTCAACCATTAAAACCTTTACCTGTTGTCTTAACTTCAGGTCTTGGGTCCGTAGGCCTCGCTGTAAATGTTTAAATTCACAAGGAAGAGAAGAATATAGAAGTGTCTCCTCCTCCGCCGGCTTATGCTGTCGATGTTAGTTATCAGTGTTCATGGAAACAGAATAGTGACTTCAGCATGCTGCACCCTAAAATCCCTGAAAATATCAAAGATAAGCTAAGGGTGCTTCGCTGTCGTCTGCTTTTCTCGTCGTCCCAGAGTCATCAAAACTGGTGGGCAGGCCGACATCAAGTACTGCAGTTGTCACTCCAACTTTCCCTTTTCAATCGCCAACCTGAGAACCATCTCTTATTAGCTCCGCTATGAAGCCCTGGTCGTATCGTGCAGGTATGTGCAGGCTTAAAACGTTCACCTCAACCCTGAAAAGTCTCTGTGAGGAAAACATTTCCACATCGAAAACTTTCCCGCCAACCGTCAAAATGATATCGATAATACTAGTAATTGCAATGAAACACATCAAAACAACGTAAGATGTAACTTGCACAAATGCACAGCAAGCAAAAAAGTTGACACCCAACCGGTGTCAACTTATTTACCATTACTAAAGTCTTTAAGCGATATAAATCCAAGCAAAGCAGTAAAGGGAAAACCAAGGTGAAAACAAAGAAGAAACCTTTAACCCTCACACACCAAGGGTTAACGTTACACGCCAACAGCTACCCACCACATGAAATATTATAATACCTGCTGGTGGTCATTCAGAAACTTTACGGCGATGTCTGAACATCTAAGTTGTAACAAGTGGTGCAGATAAGCAAGTATGTCACTGTGAAAACATGTGGCTAGCAACGCTGAAGTGTAAGTTCCCAATGATTGTCTAAATTGTCTAATAATTCACCACAGGTATGCGGAGTCGTGTAAACACTACAGGACAGATCCGGTTGTAGCATTGCGCAATTTTTTTTCCTGTGCCAATCTTACCATGCATGTGAACAGCCTACGGTACATGGGCTTAAGTGGGCGTGATGTTTACTTACAATAGACCGTTAGGCTTGAGTGGTTTTAATACAGGCGCTCCATTGTTGTGGGTGATATCTACACCTGTCAAGTTGTAGTGGTTCGTGGCGGACTTTTGATAGCACTGACGCGCAATTAAAACGCAATTTAATACGAAGGCTTAGAAATGCCAACCCCTACAGATTTGATACAGTCTACTTCGAAATGAAATTTTTTGGCCAGTCACGAACATCTTGTAGTGAAGTTCCGACTGCGGTACATCCTTGGGTCCTCTTCGTTGTTGCAGATAAAAAGTTACAAACCTTTGAAAGCTTGGCCAATGATAGTAACCACCACGAATAAAGAATTGGTGATAGCAAAAATCAAAGGACAGAGCGGACATTACAAAATTACCAAAGATTTCATGTCCTTGTCGCACGATGGATGTAAAATCGTCTGTAAAGGTGCCGCTAAAGTAAAAAAGCCAAGGTCGTTTCACAGAACCGCTGACATGGGAGTCTGGGTCGCGCGATGTGGTATGACGCAATCAGCACTCATCAAATACAGAAACGATACACATGCGCGTAGCATAGCAATCCTGGCACCCGCCTGTCGAGTTATGTAAAGAGCTGTCGGTCACTTTGTTACAAATATCAAAGTCCTGTCTGTTCTCTTTAACTACAACGTCAGTGGTCGATTGCCTTCATACTGGGGTTAATAATGAATTGCCAGTCAAATGTGACTGTGCGAAAATTCTGATGATTCTTTCCCAAAATTAATCTCAAGGTAGGCATACGGTTTGCGCTTTTATACTTCATACGTCGTTTCGTTTACCCTCTTCCACTTTGACTTCATTGGCAATATCATTGGCGGGAATCCACAATAGGTCTAAACCATTGGGCAGACAGAGAAGAAACTACGAAAAGACGTTGCGTCTACCAGGCTTCGGGAAGCGGCTGAAAAGGGAAGAAATCAGCCAAATAGTCAGATTATGCCAGGGGAGTTGGTCCGCGATAAGAGAGCGACAAACTGTTCTCTTACACTTATCAGGGACCACCTCCCCTGGCATCCCTTCTCTTCCTTTAGCCGCTTCCCGAAGCCTACTAGAGGCTACAAGAAAAAGACGCACATGAACAAGCTTACGCCTTACATCTGCTTGGATATTAAGAGTGTGGAAAGAACTTACAGCATTTTCACACATTCAAATTTTCTTCGAAGACTTCGAAGAACTGGAGAAGTTTTCAATCTGAAAACTCTTGGTTTATTGCCTTCGTATGGTCGGACAATGACCTGCTTTAAGTCCCCCAACCTTGCCCCCGAACACGAGCCGACCACGTTATTCTGCTGGCGTTCTGCAGTCTGACCGGATTTAGGCTTTGAGTTAAATTTGAATCAAATTTGACACCGAACACACCCCGAAAACATCTGACTTACTCCCGGGATCCCGAATGGTTGGCTTTGCTCTGCTGACTTACAGCCGAACACCAACCAACCATGTCCCACACAGATAAAAGTATCTCCCGGATGTCACTGGTGTGTAATCATGACATGTTAAAGAAAAACAGTCCCTGTCTGGGACCTTTGAAAAACGCCTGTTGTTGTGTCCGATCACAATTAAAATCATCACACTGAAAAGTCTGCTTTATTCCCTTCGGAATATATGTGTACTTTAGAGAAGAGGCGAAAACTTGCCAACAGTCAATGAGGGATCCATAAAAGCGAGACACGAGAAATTAGGTTTCGTTTGTCCCCGTTTATAAAATGATCAAAGGATGGACCCAACACGTGTGGGAATTAAGATTGGTCCTATGTTGACTTGTAGCCTAGCTGTTTGTTTGGGCATCTTTTCTGGAAGCATCTAGATATAGATTTGTTTCAGATGAATAGATTTTCTATGCTCCAACAGATCTCTTCTAAAAGCTGGGAAAGATGGATCGGCCAAACACGCTGAATTATTTCCAAGAAACAGTAAGTAAGCTTCGACCATATGGACGGTCCCGCTATTTGTCTGTTGGATCAAGGAGCTTCAAACAACTGTTGATATTTTACAGTGGGTGGGACGTCGCATGGGTGTCCGCGTGACAACACTGTTGTGACCCAATTCTGTCCTGATGAGGACAACAAGTGTTTTGCGTCTGTTTTTGCAACAAAAATGCTCTTTTCTAGTATTGTATTTTCTAACAGGTTGCCTCGAGGTCCTAAGTCCGGACCAATGTTGCGAAATAGGCGGAAAAGACTGAAAATGAGCCGTATCCTTACATCAAAGTTACATCAAGTTGTGTGCGCACATTCATGACATGCTGGTCGACTGATCGACTCGTCACACCGTAATGTTTGTTCATAAAACGTTTTTATTCGGAGCGAAAAAGAGAAAGCATCCAGACTTCGCTAATTTTAGGCAGCCCATCTTGCACCGAAAATGTTGATCTTAAAACCTCTATAACACCCAGTGAAGTGTAAGCATGAATGGTTTAAGAAGCAACAGGTATAAGTATGTTCCAGTATTTTGCAGAAGTAGAAGTATATGTACAATGTATACTGTATTATATATATGCATAACAAGGTTCAGTAATACATGCATTCAGTTCTTCTATGTTATTTCTATACATTTATGCTATCAGATCTTAAAAGCGCCTGTCACTGTAAAGTAGGAAATCTGCTATGAAATATCTTGTCAAGACCCGTACCGCCCTTAACACTTCTGTAGAGAAATGACAGATCGCCGAGTCTGAAAGGGTCGTACCTGTGTTGGGCAGCTCCCTGTCCACGATCTCCCTCACCATCGCGCCCCACTCCTCCAGCGGCAGTCTGTCAGCGTCGCCCGGCGCCTTGGGGTGGAACACGGCCGGGAAGTCCACGCGGATGGGGTTCAGGGTGGCGGGGAGGCCCTTGGACTCGGAGCCCGGCATGAACGGGCGCCCGGCCAGCTTCGCCGCGTTGTACTTGGGGAGGTTGTCGGACTGGACGAGCTCGGGGGCCGCTAGACCCAGCGCGCGAGCCCGGGGGACCAGGAGGGGCCGCGCCGCCCGAGTCAGCGCCTGGGAAGCGGATTTCATGATAGCGGGAGCGCCGGGCAACATGGTGCGAGCTGTGTTTCTGTGGTGCGTTACTAGTCAGACACAAGCGAAGCTGGGGAATATGTTTGCGATCAGGACAGACTTTAAGTAGGTACAAAGGTTGGAGGGATTTTTTGTTGAGGTAAGGCGAAATTTTAGAAAATGCTCGCGTTTCCACACAAGAGTCTTAATTTGGCAACATATTTTGAAGCACACTTGTTTGCATCATATCAACGTTAAAACTTGTTATAAGAAGAGAAATGAGGAAAACGGATAAGGTTTTTGTACCGAAAAGGACATACATAGGAGCACCCGCACCCCCGCACGTAGAATGGACTAGACCCAAACCGGCGCCAACCGGTTTTCTCATACAAGCCCTAGAAGCTGCTCGATAACCGAAGGGACAGTCCGAAAACCCCTGAAACTACCATCTTCCTCCTCATAAACTCCACATTTACCGCACAAATACCGGTTTTTATGACAAGCGAAGTACATCGTCTATAAATAGGAACTAGTCCGATGTTGGCGGGACAGAAATTTAGCGAGAACGCGCGAGGACGGGGCAGAAAAGGCGAAAAGAAGACGCGAGACGCAAACAGGGATGGGTCAGAAACCCCAACTTTGTCGTGTCCATCCTCCGCACACACGGGTCATCCAGAGGTCACTCCTCTGGACCAGGCAGCTTTTTAGGCAACAACGGATTTCAGGACGGTTTGTGGCGGGGAGGCAGGCGCGCACAGAACTGTCCGTGGCCTGTTTTCAGTCATTATGCTAGATATGCCATTGTCTTATGACTGGGCCACTGTTTATCTATGAATGATGCTTCTAGGATCTAGATAAGTTATAGTTGATATTCAGGCCACTCTGCAGTGGCAGAGGCGCACAGCAACTGATTTATTTTACTAACTCGAGTCTTCGCAGTCGCAAGTCATGATCATGGTTTCCACACACACGCGACATCTGTACCGTTGTGTATCGAACAAGTGAAAGTAAACACCAGTCTGCAATAGATTCTGTTCGTCCTTGAATGCACCAAACACCAGATACGAAGTTCATCTGATGTCCTCATTCAAGGTTTAATGATGCCTTACATTGTACCATGTAGTTAAAATGATTGTATCATGTACAACTGTCCTGCAATGCAAGTTCTTCTCATAGTACATTTGATTTTGTTCAAATCCTTGGCGGCCCCACCAGTGTAAAAGGTTGGAGTCAGCGGGATGTTTTGTTGACTCTACCCGGCGTGCGCGGACATGTGCTGCATACCAAACCAACGGGACGGTTCAAAAACCCCGCCTAAAGCCGCCGCACAGGCCACTTTCCCGCCCCGGGACGGGGTAGCTGCAGGGGTTACCGGACGGCAGGCCCCGGCAGTGCCGGCGGGGTTAGGAGCGGTTCGGGCACGATGTTTGCGGTGTCGTGTTGACAGGCGTCTCTATGGGGGGCGGTTTGTTCGTGTTGAGCAGGTATTCAGGTCGGACAGGCGGCGTTTTCGGCGGGAGTCGGGACGTTTCAGAAACCCCCACAGCACCGGGCCTGTGGTTCGGTCCAACCAATGGCGGGGAGCTGCAGTACTGTGTGTTCAGGATAGGGGGCGGTTCGGACAGGCGGCGTTTTCCCCTTGCGACCGGGACGTTTCAGAAACCCCCAGAGCACCGGACCTGTGGTTCGGTCCAACCACTTGCTGCAGTACTGTCTGCGCAGGATAGGGGGCAGGTCTGAAAGCGTTAAAGGAACAGCTCCCGCCCTCCCCCTATCGAACACTTACAGTACTGCAGTAACCACCATTGGTTTGTGCGTTGCATGTTACTTACTCAGACCGAGTGAAGGCGTTGCATGTTGCTTAGTCTAATATACAGCGCAAAATATCTTAATATCTAATTGGCGCTCAGCCAAAATTGTGTAATGAATTTACATAGGAAGAAATGGTTGTGTTAAAAAAAACCTTCACTTTTCACAAAATACATGCGTTCTGCCTTCTCCATTCTCCCATGGCAGAGCCAGCTATCCATGGCAAATACGTCAGCCTTGGGATTTAAAATGCCACGTTTTATAGCTTTGCCGCAGGGGATTGTCCTTCTCGTGCTTTATACATTGTGTTTATCAGTTCACCTGTAACATAACACTTGGCTACCTGAATCGCTTTGCGATACAAGTAGTATTATCTATCAAAGTGATACGCTGTGTGGTTTCACAGATACAGATAGATAAAAACGACAGAACGTTTCATATGACATTTTAAAATATTTTTAAAGTTAAAGCTCTTTAAAATTCTCAACCACTAGGAAAACATAACATTACGCGGGTCAAGGACGTTACTTAATGCCCATGCTCAAGTGAGACCAGGTGCTAACGCGCGTCCTCGGTTATTGCACAGGTAATACCCCTGCGATGCAGCAGTCACGTCACAAATAGCCGAAGGTAATGTTACATTAGTATCGTCCCGCGTGCTTTGGATCGGTTAATCAAACAAAAGCCGCAGTGCGTTTGCTTCATGCAATGATCAGTGAGGAAAAACACGGAGGGGTCAAGAGTTAGATGGGCGTCCGGTTCAATTTCAAGATGGCGGCATCCATCCCTTTAAAACTGTGTTCGCCGCCGGTGTACATGTACAGCAGGATTTCCTTGTTCCGTGCGTGTCCGGGCAGGTGGTTCAGCGGGACCGGAGCGGTGCAGGGCGCGACCCCGCGGCTCGTTCAGGTAGAGGAGCCGCCGCCGTACACACCTGCACGGCTGGCAGGCAGGCCGTACCTCAGCGGCTCGCAATCCGCGGGCTTTCCCGAGTTCCTGGGCCGGGCCCGGCCGGGCTTTCCGGCGATGTTCCAGCCGGGAGACACCGCCGGGGGGATCGAGGAGTGGTCGGCGGTGGTGAAGGGCGTGATAGACCGAGAGCTGACGCGATCGGGGGCGCTGCTGTTCCGAGGACTGCCCGTCAGGACTGACCAGGACTTCGGGCGCCTGTGCCAAGGGCTGGGGTACGATATGATGGTGTATAAAGGTGGCGCCGTGGACAGGTGAGTTGATAAAATTTGATCCATTTTGTATAATTCTATCCATTGTAAAAGATAGTTGAAGTCATAGCTCTTGCTAAACCTTCTATCTAACAGCACATGAAATATCCTTAAATGTCGATGGCGTCCAGTGGACTGCTTTAAAATCATTTTCGTATCGATAATTAGTCCATAAACTCAAACTGTTATGGCTGTTATAGCCAAAAGTGGGCAAACAATTAAGACTTGCGTAAGGCAGAAAGTTGGGCGGGGGCTAAAAACAACATTCCCGTGTTTGATGTGAACCATACAGTGATTTAAAACTTTGTGGTGAGTCCCAGCTAATGACACTACAGGAAAGGGTCAATAAATTCAGCTTAATTGACACGAAAACTTATATATCTACGGACTGTAAATCTAACCTTGTTTAACCACATACAGGGGGTGTCATTGAGGCTGGGTTTACAGGTGGTTGAGGTTCTCTTCTAAATCAATGACATCAATGTATATTTAAGGTATTCCTAGGTAGGCAAAATTTGAAAGGTAAGGGTTGCATCATCTTTAACGTCCACGATGTAAAGTTTAACGTTGGCCAGGGCCCAAGGAAACATCAAACTGTTTATCTCAAAGCAAATCTGATGAAAGCCTTTGATATTTTACAATTGCTGACAGTCACGCATTCTAACAATGCATGTGACACGTTTTTATTGTATTTTTTTCACTCGAATACACTGACAGAACGGGAAAGCAATACATTCGTTCGAATTCGCTATACCAAAATTATATTATTGTGCATTGAAATAAGAAGAAGGGGGAAGAAGTTCTTTTGACAGAAGGGGGAGGCAATAATTGGCATTAAATACGTTCGCTACACCAAAATGGTATAATTTTATCATAGAAACAAGAGAAATATAAGGCCATACATTTTTGTATAGTAACCACCTAGGAGAAAAAAGTGTCAAGAGCATTGCATGCAACTTATATAGTATAGAGCGAGGCAGGGTCGTCACTTTCCATTTCCTGGTAGGAGATAAGTGTTCTGCGGTCACGCAGTAGTCAGCTGAATCTGTAATCAACCGGTCTAACCGCTCTTCAGCGTAATTACCGCGAGGCGAGCTTCTGTTTCTACATTCCAGGGCGAGGTACCTCCCGTCGTGCGTAACATACCAGCTTCTCAGTATCTACCGGTACCAGTCCAACTGCCTTTCACTTCTACATTATCTGTCTCCGGACTGCCTTTCATCGTAACATACTAGCTTCTGTATGTGCATTACCGCTCTAAGTGACTTCCGTCGTAACATACGTCGTACCAGCTTCTGTATCTGCATTAATCAACCAGTATCTCTTCAACGTGACGCACGCACGTACGGTGGCAGCTGGTTATATTGAGCAGTCTGTCATTCCTAATACCTGCACTATCTAAGGTTGACGCCTTCATTAATGATATGTAATAAGGAGACCATCAATCAATGTATATCGTGATGACGAGTTTCACTTTACCACCACAGCACCTCACTCTCTCAATCGAGAATTTAATTGGCTATCATGGCATCATCATGACATTCTCATAGTAGCTACAAGATTTGTCTATCAGAACTTTCTGGCTGTGAAAGAAATAGACATAAAATGCTGGTTCATTAACTGAAGGCTAAACGTTTTGTGAATATAGTTGGGAGATGGAGGCACAATTTTTTTAACACGTGCGTTAAACTTGAATAAACCTTTAGAAAGTTTGTAGTTCAACCTGGCTACTGAGTCGACTGATCAAGGAGGCCAGAAATAGAACCTGTCAGTAACGTTACCCAATACTCACACTACCTGTTTGCAGTTTTGACACTTTGACACAGTGTTTGTAGTTTGTAGTAGTTTGATCAAAAAACAAACAGCCGATAGTCTAGACATTGGTCTACCTCTAGCCTAGGTCCCCTTCCCTCGGTCTTTTGTCAAGCTAAGGCGAATCTAAGATATTTATGTGGACCACATGTTTGTGGATATTCCAAAACGCGACTACCTTATCATGTGTGTCAAGGCAGTGTAGGTAAACAAGCAGGTGTTGCTGTCTAAACTTTTGACCCCGCCAATGTTGTACTTTTGTCCGAGGTTACAAAGCCGTGCCACCGGTGTGACACAAAAGTAGTATACAGTGTACGGGATGAAAAACATCAATCGGGAGGAAAATGTCATACGTCGTCATCATAAGCATTCACATATGCCTTCGTCATGCCATGTCTGTTTTGAAAAGAGGGAAGAAACACGTACTGACTATACAATCAATGATAGTCTTATATATGTTCGCCCATGTGTATACAATAGCTGTAGTGTAGCACTTCTGTAGAGTTGTAGTGTTTATACGACTGTATCATGTAAACTACATGTACTGCATTTAGCACACATGGGCATGAATGTGTAAATAAACATCATTGTCATTGTCATTTATTATTCTATGACCCAACTGTTACTAGTATTTCATGTTTGGAGCTTGACGGGACCCTGCCTGTGACTTTCAGTTCAAATTTAGAAAATAACTAGGAGAACCATGCATATTTATCGTAAAAAAAATGTTTTTTAACTCGAAAATATTACGTATATCAGAATTAATGAAATAAGGTCGATTCTTGGTGCCATGGGGTCTTACCTACTGCTTTTACTAACATTTAACCGTAGTGACACCGTTTAATAAGTAAGGTGAACTAAAGTTGAAAGTTGCCCCCCCCCCCAGGTCGGAGCTGACAGACATGGTGTACACGGCGGCAGACGAGCCGCTGGAGATGACCATAGACCTGCACACAGAGATGTCCTACCTGCCGCACTGGCCCAGAAAGGTACCGAGAGGACCTACTTGGTCACAAATGTTAGATTTAGATAAGAAAGCAAATGTACTTGAACTATTCCAGCGTCAGAGCTATATATAACACTGACCAGCAAGTCATGATAATGATATAACAGAATGGGTACACAGCATATACCGATTTTGTTTCCGCTGGAGATGACCATAGACCTGCACACAGAGATGTCCTACCTGCCGCACTGGCCCAGAAAGGTGATTTAGACTGAGAAGATGAAGAACTTTATTCTGTATCTGTATCTGTATAGCCGGTATAACCGCCTTTCGGCGTAACACACCAGCTTCGCAGGCACGCGGCGCGGCGGCAGCTGGCTATATTACACCGATCGACTTGTTACACCTAACCCTTGAACTTCTAGCTCTACACATTGTTTAAAGCTATCTATTGACAATGTCCCTAGACTCCCTACTGTACTTGGTGACAGTGAGTTCCACTCTGCGATAGTTCTAGGAAAGAATGAATTCTTGAACACCTCAATCCTTGGTTGATAACTCTGGTACTTGAATGCATGGCTATTTCTTGTTCTCTTCTGGGCTGGTATTAGGTACTTATTGCATGACAGTTGTACATGTTATAATGTATGATAACGAATATTGAACATAAAAAGGGGTATAAAATGAAACTTAACATCCAAATTACTAAAACATAAAATGCTAGTATAATATTCAATCAAGTGGGGCTAATAATGAGTTTACGTATTTTTTCTAACGAATATATTTCTTATAACAAATCTGTCGGTAGCATCGATAAGAAAGCAACTACATGTATCATTCAGTACTATTCCAGTGTCAGAGTCTGTCAGAGCTAGGCTCAAGAGATACCATGTAACACTGAACAGCAAGTTTATTGACATAACAGAATGGAAACAGCATATGCCAATTTTACGCGAACCGCTTGACACTTGGTCACGTATCGGCGATAATGCGTCTTCCTTTCTGGTGAAGTCGGAAGTTTGGTCCAAGTCCAAGATAGTGCTAAAAGGTGTTTATTTCCTCATCTATTTCACCCTTGAATCCGTCCTTATTGTGTCCCGTAAGTTGATGTTCTGCTGCATCAAACCGCCCGGAGAGAAGTATGGAGGCGAGACGCCCATCACGGACATGCGCAGTGTGCTGAGAGACATGGACCCTGCCTTGCTCGACCGTCTGCGCACGCGCGGAATTCGCTACATCCGGAACATCGCCGACAGGTCACGTGACGTCTGGTGCTGGCAGCGGACGTTCCGAACGGAGGACAGGGAGGAGGTATGGGCTCATCTCCAAGCAGATGTTAGAAAGTCTTAAGATCACCAAGTGGTTTTGAGTATTATCACGAAAGTTCATCTGTGTTGCTAGTTACACGTTTAAAGCTTTTGATCCAACACAATTAAGCTCTCTCACCTAGAGCTTTCGACCAGTCAATCTGGTCTTCCTCAGTAGACTGACCCAGTGAGTCTTGTCACGTGGCTTCTTTGAAGTGTGACGTCAACACGGGTCAAAGGTATCTGGTAGACGATGTCGGCCCCCGTCGCGGTTGAGTGATGGTAGAGGCTAGTGCGTCAGTACATACAGGGCATATGTATGTTGCGTCAATAAAGCCTCTATCTTTCTCCTGTAGGTTGAGAAGTTCCTTGCAGAGCGCGACTTCTCCTTCCAGTGGAACAGTGACGACTCGGTGACGTACTGGTACGTCATGCCGGCCACACGGGAACACCCAGCCACCGGGGAGACACTCTGGTTCAACCAGGCCACGTCTCACCACTGCAGCTACTTCTACCAGCACCCAAACTTCGGCGGCGCCGGGAGGGCCAAGTTCCGGTACCCCTTCCACACCTGCTACGGGGACGGGGAGGAGTTCAGACCGGAAGAGGTGAAGATCAACTTTTTAAAGATTTTTTCATCCTTTTCTTTCTAAGTTTCTAGCAGAGCTAGTCTGAGACTAAATGTAGCTGCATATGCATGAACCAATGCTCGCGTTGTTCTTCCTGTTTATTCCCAGGTGTCACTTGTTCGTGAGGTCACGTGGTTAGACCAATTCGGTCAGTCTTCATGAAGAAGACCGTACTACTTTTGTTCCTGTCTTTCTGTTTGTTTGTTTGTTTGTTTGTTTGTTTGTTTGTTTGTTTGTTTGAGCCTTGGTTTATTCAGAAAATACTTTAATCGACCTGCTTTTCATTAAGGTTATGAAGAAAGGGGTCAATATCAGAAGCCATAGACATATATCCTCACATGTTCATACATGGTTCTCTCGGTTAAATAAAAAAACGTTGAACTTCCCGTCCGTCCGCTAGGTGTCGCACATGCAGCAGGTGCAGTGGAGGCACGCGGTGGGGTTCCACTGGCGGGCTGGGGACGTCCTGGTGGTGGACAACATGGTGACGGGGCACGGGCGCATGGGCTGCACGCCCGGGGTCAGCGGTAGGAAGGTGGTCGTCAGTCTCACCAGCAACTAGCCAAAACGTCAAGAACGGGCTAAAGGGTATCGTAGTAAACTGATAAACTGATGACTTCAAGAAGTTCAAGCCCATGAAACTCGAAATCTTGTACACATTAAAAACTACGATGAAGTTCGCAAGGTCTAGCCTGGGTACCATCCTGGTTAGTTCACGTCCGCTCCCACAGTCGGTAGCGACTAACCAGGATGGTACCCAGGCCAGGCTACGCAATCTACCTACAACTATACCTACAAACAAGTGAATACAGATTACATGTACAAGAATATGGATCTTTTTTTTTTTTTAAGTAAAGATGATGTAATGTAAAAATCAGTTTGCTCCTACTCCGCGAGAAGTCGTCGAAACGATTCCAACAATGATGCTGACTGTATTTTATCAAATCGTGAGAATATTCGCAAGCCACGGCTTCCTTGATCGTGCGTGTTGCTCTTAGGAATCTTCGACAAGGCCTGTGGAATACAGAAGGACAACTTCGAACGTGCATTACGGACGTACAGGGGACGACATGCAATGTGCGAAACTGTGTGACAAACTTTAAATCTCAACTGATATGGTATAACGTTATATATGATTAGTGCATTCCCAGAAAAATTCTCGATCTCTGTTGATCAGCAACAGATCTAGAGTAGAACTCTACTTTTTAATCAGGATACCAGTGAAAATTCATCAAAGATATGTGAAACTTAGACATTTTGAGGCATCTTATCCTCTCAAAAAAAGTTATGTGAAATCGTAACTTTGTCTTGTTCCTATCTGCCTTTATGTCTACGTGGACTGAATCTCAACTCGTCAAACCTGGGGCGATGCCACAAGACAAGACGTGCCATGAAACTTGGGTTCAACTCATCAGTGAAGTAACGTAATGTGAAGGTGGATGGAAAAAGTGGTATTGTACATGTTCATATATGAATATAATTGTTTATGCTTCATGACATTATATTAAACATTGTCTATCTATGCAGAGTTTTTACCCATTTGTCTGTATCATTCCTTGCTACTTTACCAGAGTTTTCCAACATTTACGGTTCTCTTTCGATTTTCTGCTCCGACGAACTACGAGGCATTGTTTTTTGTTTGTTTGTTTTTTGGTCTGTATAACCAAGGAGGTTAACCTCCTTGGTATAACAATTCAGTGGGGTCAAAATTGTAACGTTAGCAGCAGTCTAAAGTGGTTAGCCTCTACCACTCGGCTTCGGGAGGCGGCTGGAAAGAGTAGAAATTGGCCCGGCCCGGGTGCGGAAAAATGTACTCTTTAGCGGACCAACTCCCTCGGCATGTTATCTCTCTCTATTTGGCCAATTTCTACTCTTTTAGCCGCCTCCCGAAGCCTGGTAGAGGCTAGCAGTGGTCGCCTTCATTTTTGAGAGAGTGCTGCCACGACCTCTAGTCAACATAACCAGTACTGCAGGTTTCGTGACTGACCCGGAAGTCATAGTCCGTTGGTGACCTCCCGTCCTCATTATTTTTTCATGTCGGTTTCCGCTACGTTTATGATTTTTTTCCTGCCTATGTACGTCCGCTGCATCTATTAATAGTGGCGGGGCGGGAGCTGTTCGAGCTGGCATCGCCGGTGGCGCGGCAGTCAGCGGGAAAGTCCTCGGCGAACGGACGCGTTCCTCCGCCGGTCGAGCTCGGTACGTTCATCGGTCCTCTGCCGACCAGCATGGCCGAGCCGATCTGGCTGTACCAGTTTCGCCTGATCCTCATCGGAGACTCCACGGTGGGAAAATCTTCACTTCTACGCCGCTTCACCGACGGGAAGTTTATCGAGTATTCGGACCCGACGGTCGGGGTGGATTTCTTCGCGAGGCTGATGGAGGTGGAGCCCGGGAAGAGGGTCAAGCTGCAACTGTGGGACACCGCCGGTCAGGAGCGATTCAGGTACGTGAGGCAGGTCACACGGGTTTACAGGTACAGCTAGGTGGATTTTGACACCTGCATAACAGCCACAAAACTACCCAAATAATTTATCTAAACCTCACAACCATCTCTTGTACACTGACGCCCCCCTCCCCCATATTTTTGACGTAGTAAACATTTCGCAAGGGTTCAGGTGAGTTAGACACGTCACACAGGTAACGTTACAGGTACAGGGTGGACTTTGACCTGCATTATTTTATATAACCGCCACAAAACCAACCATCCAAACCTCACAACCATCTCTAGTACCTCACTGACGCCCCCCTCCCTCATTTTTTGACGTAAACATTTCGCAAGGGTTCAAGGATGACGCCCTTTCCGTTACGCCTCGCTTCAGCGAGCAAAGAAAATTACATAAACAAACGACGTTGTTGTTTTCTGTTTCGGTGGCTAGGCTTGGAGATGGAAGACAACAAAAATTGTTTACGTTTTCTTCATGACGTGATTGAATTATCCATAACGTGTAGGTCACAAGATTTGTAGGCTGTACGTCATAACATAATTTGTCCTAACGTTAGCAGTAACGTTAGGTGGGTGTTGCTGGGCTTTGGCGTTTTGTAAACAGATCTGGTAAACATTCCGGTGTCAACATCGCCCCCCTCCCTCCTCTGTATCCACCCCGGTCTAAAAATCAGTACCATATGGCTGCAGCCTGAATTTGTCTAATACAGGAGTGTCATGTCGACCCCAACACACACACACACACACAGACAGCCTCAGGGGATATTTTAGTGTCTACCTGTACATCAGGTGTTTGTTGTTGTCTGATATTAGGCCACGCCCCCTCCCCAACGTATAAATGATTTATTACACATTGTTTATAGGCCATCAAAATCCATTGGGAGAGGCAATGCATATGTTTTATGTAACAATTACATGTGCATAATGTAGATTAAGATTGATTTAAATATTATGACTGGCCATTGGACACAATGGGACATTAGAGGCTGACACAAAATAGAAGAACTACAGTAAATTGTGCTGCTTATTTATAATAATATATTTTCTGTTACGATGTTAGGGTCGCTCAGTGCACTTCTAACCTTGATTTACTGAGGAAAAATATTAGAATCTAATATGATAATACCTACTCATAGTCATAGAGACACAATGAACGCTATTATGAAGCCATTCTGGGTCCCACAGGTATTGCAAATGTCACTTTGTACTTGTGCATGTTACATTATTCATGAGTTCAGACAGTTTCTCACTGTACATCTGTTTTATTGGTGTGTGTGTCCCCATTCTCTTTTTTGCCCTTGTCCCCATTCTCTTTTTTGCTCATTCTGCCATAGCACGGGGGGCTTGAAATTTATGTGTTCCTCTGGTGTTTTTACATTCACTGATGAGAGAATCTGAAAAAAATGGAGGTTGCTCCCTTAATATTTTATGTGACAGTATATATACATGTATGATTATATGTATGTCTATAACGTTACTTTCTACAGTGGTATCATTATATAATATAACACACTACCACTGTAGAAAGTAACATTATATAGACCACATGTTCGCTGAAAACACAAGAATTTCATACTCCATTTGTTGTTAGATTTGACCCGTAGTATGGAAAAAACACAGAAAAAGAAGCTGTATATGTAGTATGGAATAAACACAGAAAAAGAAGCTGTATAACATCAGCAGCATATTCTGGAAATGAGATAAAGATGAATGCCTGCTGTAGGACTCACTGGAACTTGAAAATGGATTAGCAGATGATGATCATGTGATATAATAACAACATGGAACATTCCATCCTCTTCTAAGCTAGTCCAATCATATTCAGACCTGTGTCACATTCTCACAAGATTTGAAATGGAATAGCCTATTTGTGGAGAACACAATTCCTTTCCAAAGCTGTCAGAAAACAAGATTGTAACGCTATTATCGTCAATTTCCCAATCCTAATATATTTAGCTCTATTTGGAGAATGGCAGAACTGATATATAAGAAACTTCTCCTCATTCTGCTATTCCCTGTACCCGTCCAGGTCTATCACAAGATCGTACTACCGGAACTCGGTCGGCGCGGTCCTGGTGTACGACGTCACAAACCGGAAATCGTTTGAGCACCTGGAGTCGTGGTGGCACGAGGCCAAGCAGCACACCATGCCTCACAACATGGTCTTCATCCTAGTCGGGCACAAAATCGACCTGGCCTCGCAGCGCGAGGTCAGCCAGGAGGAGGGGCAGCAGTTCGCCCGGACTCACGACATGTCGTACTTAGAGACCTCGGCGAAAAACGCGGAGAACGTGGAGAAGGCGTTCTGGCAGGTGACGCGGGAGATCTACGAACTTGTGGAGATGGGGGTGATCAGCACGGAGGAGGGGTGGGAGGGCGTGAAGAGTGGCATGATGCCGCGCAGCTACAGCACCGTCCCGCTGGCACAGGACAACAGCAGCGAGAAGAAGTGCTTGTGCTCCTGATCATGACGGGAACGGGGGGACGCGTAACTAACGGTCAGAAACTCCACAGGACGCCACAGCCACCGCAACTGGTCTGAACTTTCATTTGGTATCCTTCCTTCGGTCATAATTGAACTGGGAAAGTTAACGCAGTTCACGGTCAAAGATTCATCAGAAGGATGACGGCTTAGACTAGCAGTTTTCCAGTTTCAACTTTTTATTAGGAAGTCGTCATCAGAAAAACACAGTTCAAGGTTTCATCAAAATGACTTCTAAGCTCTGCCAAAGAGTCTTTTCCCACTAGGACTTGCATGCACTGCAAGTCATCCAAACTTTTTGTTTTCTATCCTTCCTTCAGGCGTAAGGCGACTCCAATTTTATTTGTTGGTTACTAGTATTATCTGTTAGTTCTTGAATTGAAATTTTAAGTACTGAATACACAGACCTGTGCAAGTTACATACAGGTAGACATCAGAAATACCTGGTATGTCCAACATTGCACACAAACACTACTGAAAACATAACCTTCTTAGCACAGGTAGAATGTAATTCACTTTCATAGCTAGTCCAGGAAAGTGTTGGTGAGCTTTGGTGTTTCTCGGGAGTTTTGACCTACTGGGAACGAACTGTAAACTAAGTCATGAACCAAATTTTGTATGATAGATAACCGGAGAATGTTGTGTAACAAATTGATACATCTTACTAGATGTAGAATCATGGTGTGATAATTTCTGTGTACTCTGTCATCGCATTGTAGTATGTTAGCCAAGTTTAGAATAGATACATGTAAAAGGATTGAATATATTTGACTTAGGATTGAATATATTTGACTTGAGGGAAAACAGAGTAGTCCAAATTGGATATCAAACATTATCCTGTAAAATTGATTATTTTTGTCAACGTAGGTTAGATTTCGTCAGTTATGATGTATACAATATAGAAATGTATTAAGAACCTTAATGACTTTTAGACTTGAATATGTTAATCTCTAAATTAAATGCTTCATCAAAAAGAAGGTGCAAAATCTTGAAGAAAATTCAGAAATGGAAAATGTTCTGTACATCATTTAGTTGGTATTTAGCTGATTTTTTTTACTGGTGGAGCCAAAAGATGTTCAATAACTTTAATCAAATCACGCATCTGCTTGAAAATTAGGATTGGGGTGTCAAACTCCTGAGATGATGGTGCTTTTTGGGGGCTTTTTCGTGAAATGGTAGGATCTGTGTGTGGACACATTGAACTGTCAACCTTCTGTATGCTTCAGGAAGATCACAGGATTGGGCAGTGTTGGTTTTGGCAACCTTTTGTCTACAGTAATAACAAAGCAAGGCCAGCCAGGCAGTTTGTATTCATCAGTCGTTGCTGAAAAGATGATAAAAAGAGTTTTCCAAGGTGCTTCCATTGTTGGGGTTGATGAATAGCAAGTGAAATGTAACATTCTCACCCCCAAGTGAAAGTTATAGAAGTTGATATTAGGGAGTGGGGGTCCTGAAAAGATGTTATTTTGTTTGAGTTAAACACTTAAGAGTGTCTTGCCATAACTATGGTGTCATGCAGCAAATACTCATGTCAGGTAGTCATGTTATATACAGACGATGGTCAATGTGTTGACTTTAAATCAGTAGGGAGATTTGATCAATATTTTACACCAAAGATTGGTCCATTTATATAGCAGGTTTGTGCTTTTGTATCGCACTTCTTGTGATCAGTGACAGCGTTACATGACTTGTGATATTGAGACAAGGCCTTATTCATGCATTTGAAGGTGGGTTCAAAAAGATACCCTCTTCGTTCTATTTCCCACCCCTCCCCTTCCATGTAACAAGGCCTCTGGTTTCTAGTCTTCCTGTGTTTTCCTTGCACTAAGTTCCCCTCTCTCCCCTTCAAAGTTTGATGTGAATGATTTCCCCACCCAAAACAAAGTCGGCACTGGTAACAATCTGATATTGTTTATATGATTATGATGTACAAACAAACAAATATTCTATATACTATTATTAGTCTATATATATTCATACCTATGATAAGAGTGTGATGCATATATGTTTGTGTGTGATATGGCCCAAGTGAATGGCATAGTAACAATACTATTGTTGATGTAGTAATAATTGTGATTCAAGCTTCCCATCTAAAGAAAATGTTATCTTGCCAAAAGACGGTGACATTATTGCCATATTTTTTGCATGATTAGTAGTTCTGCTATATGGTTGTGAATAGTGAATCAGTGATGGTGCAAGAAAGTTTGAGAAAAAAAGGTCAATTTTTCTTCCAAAGATCTGCAGCATGTTACATGATTAACTCCGACCCCTCATACACTGTACATGTTTCTATGTTACTTTTCCCACCAAAAATTGACAAAGGTTAACAAACTTCTTATGACAACAGAAAGTAACTTTCTTAATTTCTTAAGAATTAACTGTATGGTACCAAATTTTTATTAGTTAGGCAGCAGGGAGAAAGTATGATAAAAAACAAACATTCTGTATCCTGTAGTTATCTTGCAAAAACTGTCAGGCTTCTTAACAATGTCAGGAAGTTGCATGGTACTGTATTACTTTGATTTATTGCATTATTGCTGAACTTTAGTATTTGTTTTCCTTCTTTTTATATCAACAAACTTTTGTTTTTTATAGATTGTTCTGATTATTTTAGTTTAAGTGAGTTTATACTATGAGTTATACTGTTTATTATTTAGTTACAAAACTGTCTTCCCCACCAAATTGTTTTGTATTGATTTGTATGGCTACAATATTCAAAGTTTGCCTGGCTCCTGCAATGTGCATGTATTTGTTATATGATTGATTCCTTGCAACATTATATCATAGTTTTCTATTTTCACTGTATCAAGATCTTTAATTGTGTGTCTATATAGTAAAATTTGAATACATCTAACTTTGGTGATTTAAAATGGACAAATTAGATCCACGCTGACGTGACTGATTAAGTTACAAGCACAGGTATAAGCGCCATCTGTCTGTAGCAGGGTGAATTGCATCAGTTCGTAGCAGATACATTGCTGTTGAAAGATTTTTAATACAATTTAGGCCAGGTTGATTTGATTATATGGATGACATCCTCCGGGAACCCCAAAACTGATGCGCGCGTGCGAATAAAAAAAAGTTTTGCAAAAAAAAAGTTGTTTTCATTATGAAATCTACGTGGTTTTGAAGGTTTAACAAACGGCACAGAATATGGTTTGGTGAATAATCGAGTCTTTAAGTTAATTTCTTTACAATTGCGTCTTTTTTCGTTTGATTTTGGCATTCTACGACATTGGTATAGTTTTTATTTTTTGTAACTTACGGCATATTTTTGCTCATTTTTTAACCGTTTTGTATGATTTACAGTATGGTTGAAAACTTTTTTTTTAACGGCCGAAAATTCATGCGCGCGCGGATGTCATCCATATAATCAAATCAACATGGCCTTATGTAGCGATCTTTAGGGTGTGTTACAAAGTGACTACAGTATTACAGACATAAAATTGAACTATAGAGCACAGAACAACTTTGGTTCCAGGTCGGATCGCAGAAAACTAAAGCTCATGGGGAGAATAAAAATGCGGTTTATTTAAAGATGTACCATCAAATGCAAATTCTATTAAATTATACAGTAAACTATTTAATGTTAATTTAAGGGCAATCAACGTTGATCGACAAATATCTGTGTGGTCGGAAATGCGTGAATCAGATATTTATATTTCCCTCTCGCTATTGTACAAATGAGAATATCTATGTTGTATGACTGTCGAGGTAATGTAGAATGTATTAAAAATGATCCCACCGCAAAATGTACTTGTCTCCGTGTTATCTGTCTAAACTTGTAAAGGGCTAACACGTGGGGTCGTGTGGCGTAACGGCAGAGCATTCGGCTCAGAACCAAGAGGTCCCGGGTTTGAATCCTGCCATGTCAGCAACCTTGTGCACTTGGGAAAGGCACTTAAGTCCTCACTTAGCTCAGGTGATAATGAATATGCCAGAATGATCATTATCATGATCGTGGACATTAAAAAAAAACACAAAACACGCCAGTGGACTAGCACCTAGCCGTGGCGACTACGGACCATGCTTATTACGTGTATTGCACGTGAAGGGTGGGGTATACGCTTGGCCCGGTACCGGTCGGGGTCACGAAAACCGGTTTAGTAACCCCGTCAGCCATTTTGGAAAGAGACTGGGTGTTTCAGCCATGTAAACTTGCGCTCAAGAAAATCACAACACTGGCAGCGGAATAACAGACAGAGAAGCGAAGCTGAAAGGTACCTGTTGATATCGATTATTTTACTGCACATATGGGCTTTTTTCTTTAAACAAGGACACCTTTGGTCCTTATAATGACGGATTATTTTGTTGCAACACCTTGTCAATGTTTCATTACCTTATGTGCTACTGATGTCAAAGAAAGACGTTACCATTATAATAACGACGAAGAGTTGGCGTTTGTTTTAAAGAACAAAGTGCTCTGCAGAAGATATTTCAAGGCGCACTGGCACCTTTCACAGGCAAAGTAATCCAGATTTTTGCAATGTTTAATGATTCTTTGGTAGGCGCTTAGTAATAGTTATGAAATATATCATTTGTTACTATACTAATATTTTAGTGTTCAAACTTCCCCCACGTTACAAATTCAGTCAGCCCTAAATACTAGTATCTTGCTTGTTCTGAAGGTCTATAATACACCACGTCAAAAATGAACACCGCATCAACATTCAACTTGACGTCGACATTCAGTGTAACACCATCAAGTCTGTCTCCAGCCGCGGATGACGTCATGAGTACGTCATCAGTGTTGGCGGGTCCGCGGGAGGGGGGCGTTGGCGGGATGGTCGGCTACATCATCGCGATGGTGGTGGTGTCGTGTCTGATATCAGCCACGGCGCTCATGCTGTGCTACGGACGCGGGATCCTCAAGAGCCACTGGCGACCAGAGAAGGTGGAGGACGATGCAGTGGAACCATATGAACCGTGATCCAGCCAGGAAGACGAGATACCGAGACTTTAACATCACAAGAGATGACTTTGGTGTCAAACCATATACTGTACATGATCCTGCCAAATACATGACTCCGACACTACTTGGGGGTTTCCCATATACCCGAGACAAGGGGTGGGAGGGGTTTAGTCGTGATGTCGAAGACTAATCCTAACCTAACCCCAATCGTAAGTCTAACCATGGTCTAACCCTAGCCCCCTTATCAAACCTCTCCTTTTATGTGATAGAATTTGGCTAACCAGACAACCAATAAAAAAATTAATAAACAATCATGTATACAGCACATAGCTTTATCGATAACAAATAAAGAACATAATATGGATATTTCACATTTGTCTTTTCAATTCATTTGTGTAAACAGAACTTCTACGATCCATTGGGATATGATATTCTTATGCAAGAAGGAACGCAATGTGATTTGTTTTTGAGAAAACAAACATGAGTTCTGACTTCTGTTACATGTATATCTATATGTAAAAGTAGTCAAGTGTAACACAGGTGTTGTAAAGGGCAGTTAAGAGAACGAATAACTCGTCTCTCATCCAAATAAAAATCCAAGGAAGCTAATTTTATTATATGCGAGACTGATATTCATACTGAAGTCATCCACCTTTCATTATTTAAAGTAATGCAAAATATATGAACTATAGAAACTGGATAAATGTTTAACGCTCTGAAGAATCAGTGACTGACGATAGATCATCGCGGCTGCTATCTGAAAAGTCTGACTCTTCTGCTGAGAATCTATCCTACTTACTTGTTTGGATGCCAAACCTTCATCGACACTTATATTAGCCTGGTTACCAAACCTATTATA